TGTTTCAAACTAGATTATCGGCCTTGTCTTGTTTTGTTTTTTGTTTTCCTGTCCGTATTGGGGGAATTGCATGCATGCTTGTTTGTTTGTGGGAATGTTTGCATTCATTTCCAGGAGGTAGAAGCTGTTTGTTGAATGAACGCACAGACAGGCAGGACACACAGGATTCAGCGCTTCAGTTTGTCAAACTGTCGAATGGGGGAAAAAGAGGAGAGTTCTGTCATCTCTCTTTCAGCAATGGGAAACAGAAATGACAGTGTAATTCAGACGCAGATGGAAAACAGAGGAGGGAGAGTGATTGAAGTGAGTGAGAGACAATGATGAAGATTATGAGAGAGAAAGAGAGAAGGATTATGCTCGCTGCTCTCGTCTTATATTCTGCTGTGACACCCCGATGAGTCTGTGCTGCTGACTGAGGTCTGGCTGGAGGGACTTTGTAGCCATGAAGGACACAGAGTGTGTGTGTGTGTGTGTGTGTGCGCGCGCGCGTGCATGTGTGTGTGTGTGTGTGTGTGTGTGTGTGTGTGTGCGTGCGTGCGTGTTTGTGTTTGAACAAGTTATCCCTTGCTTATTGTCATCAAACTGAAACACAAGCTGTGAAAGGATTTGGGTAAATTTGCAGCAGCCACACACCTCTTTTATCTTATTATTGTGCAGTGTGTGTGTCTCTGTGATTGTGTGAGTGCATGTGTATATGTGTGTTTGTGGGTGAGTGGGCATACACACTGTGTGCCACTGTCTGTGTTCATATGTAATGTTTGAGTGCACTGGAGTGTGCTGATGATTCTGTTGATGGCCACAACAGTGTGGTTTGATGAAGGAGCAGATGTTCTGTGTGTGTGTGTGTGTGTGTGTGTGTGTGTCCCTGTAATATGGTCTTGGAGGGAAAAGGCAGTTGATGGTGTGTTATGTTATAAAAACTGCACACTCGTGGCTGTCTCCTCACTTAAAATGACTGACGTAATGATTTTGGACTGGAAAAATATATATGTATAAGTGGTAAACTGACTATTTGCTGAAGGATTTCCACTTGTATTTCTTTTATTATTTATTATTAGTTTTTTCTTTAACTTTAACCATCATCTAGGTTGCCCTTTTCTTTTTCTGTATTTCTGTTAATGTCTGCACACTCAAAATAGTTTGAGATATCTTGTTTTCCTCCTTTCACACGAAGCCATTTGGTGCCATTCACTCTTGCATAGTGCGGAAAACAGCTCCCATCTTAGTAAACATAAACCAGGGGTTTGATTTTGTCACAGTTTCTGTTTTATCATTGTATGGTGCCAGAGCCGAGTGTGTTTCCTGTCAATCATCTGACACCTTACGCACGGGAGGAAATGGATGCATGTCGCCCGTTCGGAGTTTATCATCCAATCCATGTCTTTGCATTTGGAGCATTTCTCTGGCTGGGGAAATAAGTTATTTTCATACTGCTGCTGATTGCAAGTTTGTATAAAAATGTAAACACCTGCATCATGGATTGAAAAATGATTGTGAAAATGTGTTTGCAGATGGATGTAAAAGGCACTAGATGAACACTGGTGTGCTCAATTTGTTTTGCAGTGCTTCGTAGCCACAATAAAAACACTAAAACTTCACATTGAATCACAGCTAAACAGCATATTAAGCAATTAAGTTGTCATTTTTGTTCCTACTCAGTAGCAGTAGCTGCACACACACACATGAACCATGTAATCCTGCCAACAGCTCAGCAATGTAGATCCTTCCCAATTCTCCAAACCAAAACAGACTGTAAATATTTACTATAGAGACTCGCCCACTCTTCATCTCGCTCTCAGTTTCTTTTCCTCTCGCAGGCTTGATTTACTCAAATTACAAAACATTAACATTTTATCCCTTATACTGGCTATCAGTGGATACAATATGATTGATTGTCTGCATGGATCAACAAAACATTCATGAGCAACAACTGTGATAACAATTAGTCATTTCATTTAGCAAATCAAGCAAAAATGGCAAATATTTGTTGGTTCCAGCTTCTCAAGTGTGAACATTTGTTGCTGTTGTATGTTTAACTTTACTGTATTTAACATACTTGAGACTATTGGTTGGAGAAAACAAGACATTGGAAGATGTCCTCTTTGGTGCTCAGAATTAGGCCAGCCATTAGGAATTATAGACAGGGGGACATATTTTCCAAATCGGGCCCCTCATCCACACCCACTCCAGCACCACCACCACCCTTAGCTCTGATACCAACAAATGGGCAATTTCAAATAAGCTCTTGGCCATTAGCCTTATAGTGACAGAGAGGGAGTCTCCAACAACCAAGTCCAGTGTTATAGACCCATAGAGGCAGTGCTCTATTTGCATAGTCACATTCACTCTGACTTTAAAACTGAGCTGTCTACAGTGGGTTTCAAGTCAATTTTCAAGTCTGCTGAGCTCCTCACCTTTGCCACGGTCATCTTCACCTGTCACACCTGGTGCATCTTTACTTTTTTTTTTTGGCCAGAAATTTGGCCATTGCTTCTCTGCTCCTTTCATATTCCTATTCTATTTGTACCCATTTTTTAGCCCCTGATTTTTAGTGACCAAGCTAGTCAGGCTGCAGTTCAGTTTCAGTTTCATCTTCACATTAGCAGCACGCATACATTCTACACATTGAATGTACCTTTAATGTAATGTGTTTTGATGATAACAATACATGTATTTATTAAATACATATAACTTGTATTGCCAGTGATTTAAGTCAGCAAGTAAACTGTTGTAATTGATCTCATGAAAGGGGCAACAATAGACCTTTGCATGCCCCCCACCGGGCCGTGGACTGGGGTCACTGGACTGAGTACCTAGTGTTAAGATGGTTGCTTTTGAAATGTAATAGGATATCGATTACTAGTTATCCTGTTAAAAATGTAACAAGTAATTTAATTACTTAATTTACTCACCAAAGTAATGTATCTTATTATATTTGATTACTTACTAATTACTTTTCTAACAGATGTTTTAAACAGGTAATAAAGTACAGAAATAGGCTATGCCAAAAGAAGGCCTTCCTGCACAGCAGAAAGTTCTAAGGCAACAGAATGAATGTTATATTCTTTTTTTTTCTTCTTTTTTTTTTAAAAGATATTTTTAGGGCATTTTTGCCTTTAATGGACAGGGCAGGTAAGTTTGAAAGGGGGAGAGAGGGGGGGGATGACATGCAGCAAAGGGCCACAGGCTGGACTCGAACTTGGGCTGCTGCGGCAACAGCCTTGTACATGGGGCGCCTGCTCTACCCACTCAGGCACCGACGCCCCAATGAATGTTATATTCTACGTATAACTTTTTACTGGAACAATGTATTATATTCAGATGTAACTCCTTTGTTATCACTTACATTTTGATAAGTAACTGTAATTTAATTATATACTTTCTTCTCAGTAACTTTAACTGATACTGATTACAAGTACATTTATTACCTCCGCCAAAGAGGTTATGTTTTCGCCGGCGTTGGTCTGTTTGTCTGTTTGTTTGTTTGTCTGCAAAATAACTCAAAAAGTTATGAACTGATGAAATTTTCAGGAAAGGTGGATAATGGGACAAGGAACAGATGATAAAATTTTGGTGGTGAAGCAAAGTCGATAAAATAATAAATAAAGCATATGGTCTGACAGCCTCAGCAGCAATTAAGACGGTGAAAATAGCGCCATCTGGTGGCCGGAAAGCACGTCTTGTTCATGCTAAATATTGTTGTAATTCTAAAGTTGAAATTAATGTTCTGTGTTGGAAAAAAGAAAGTGAAAAATACAAAAAAAAACGTATTATATTCTGTGTTGGTACAAAATAAAAACGAAATAAATACACCACAGTGTCTCCATGGTGAAGGCATATATAACCTAATAATGATAGTGATGCAAATAACCTAATTGTGATGCAGGCTGCAAAATCTGATGCAGAGGGGGAGGGAATGTCACTTACTTGGCGGAGGTCTGCACTCTCTGAGTGCTTTTCTAGCAATTACATGTAACTATTCAACATATTCTAATAGAACAGGTTGTATGATATCCTACAAAAATGCACATACAACGGTTCATATAATATCCTATGAATTAGCGTACCACGAATGACATTATGTCCCTAAATGTGAAGTTATAGAGTTTAAATTTAGACAAGTTGCTGTAGTTAGGTTTAGGGATAAGAAACATGGTGAGGAGGAAACTTTAGATGACTTGAAGTCTACACAGCACCGAACACCGGTCTCCTAAGGAAAGTCCTCTGTTTTGTGACCCATCCACCACCCCTAACCTGCCTCCTTAAAGACGACTCAGGACTGCTTCCTTGTTTACGCTCCTCATCACATTGGTCATGTGATCACAGCCTTCCAGAATACATGGGTAATGCACAAATTACTGGCTCAAGATTATGTATGATATGTGCAAATTTGGGTGCATTACTTTCCGTAGAAAAACATACTAATAGTTTATGGGAACACCCTGAACTAGTTGCTACCCAGCACTCTCTGTGCCCTTTGACCCACCGGGGAGGAACTGTTTCTTCAGTAAAATGTAGTTATAATGATAAACGTTCACTGCATGCTCTGTGGCTTATTCTGAGTAACTCGGGCAATGCCTTTGGAAAGACACTCTGCTCATTCGGTGTAATTTCTTTATGCTAGCACAATAAACAAAACACTTCCAGCACTTTTAATGCCATTGGGGATGATTAGCTTATGAGGTTCACTAAATTAATTAGTATTTCATTATTTTTCAGACCCATATGGCCCATAAAGATTAATAAGAATATTATTAGAATCAACAACGAACAACAAATTACTTTAATTGTTGTTCAAGACAAATTTCCTCTCTGAGGACAATAAAGTTATTCTGATTATGATTCTGAATTACAACGATCACTTTGTCTCTGATTCACTTTTTATGTCATCATTGCATTTCTGTTATTATTGTTATTATCTCATTTTCTTGAGTCATATAATTAAATATGGATTTAATTTTAACACTGACTCTCTCTAACTCTGTGTGTGTGTTTTACAGGATTGAACATCTGAGCCTGAATATGGCCATGCAGCTGCTGGTGGGAGTCCCTCTAGAAATGGTCCATGGAGCCCTGCGGATTGGACTGGTCTATGTGTGTGGTGTGCTGGCAGGTGGGCATGTGTCACACACACATGCAACAATTACCATCTCAGTTCCTCTCCATTCACTGCATACATTTCCCTTTCTTTTATCTACACACGCAGTCTACACCAGAAACATAAACACACACACACACACACACACACACACACTATACTATGGAGTTTTGCCTTTCAACTCCACCGTTGTTCCATCTGCTTGTTGTGTGTTTTTCAGGCATTCAGCAGCCTATCAGGTTGCAGACTGTGTTGGTGGATACTGGTCAATGACAAAATTTAGCGTATGTCTGTGTGTGTGTTTGGGGGGGGGGGGGGGGGGTGTTCAGGACAGATGGCCTAGTGTTTCTGTTTTTCTAGCAGACGTGCTGGGATGTAGGGGGTTGTCACTGCCCCATCAAAGCCCCTGCATCCCCCTACGGTCATGTACAATAGGGCAGAGCACAGAGAGTCATCTCAAATAGAGCTCAATCAGAAGAACACACACACACACAGTAATAATGAAATCGGAAGGGGGAGTGTGTGAGGTAGGGACGAAGACAGAGAAGAGACGGACAAGGGGAGATGAATTCATAAGTGTTAATAAGCCTGAGAGGGTTTGGAGAGGGGGGCCAGGATATGAAAAATATAGAGATGGGAGATGAGTGGAAGTGAGTGAAATTTAGGAGAAGTAGAGTGAGCAGCTACAAATGAGGAAAAAAAGCAGACACACAGCTTTGAACGAAATGTCACCACTCCCTTCCTACTGCCCTATAAACCTCAGGCACTGGCACAATTTCAGTGTTCAGCTGAGACAGTCAGTCGGTATTTGTGTGTGTGTGTGTGTGTGTGTGTGTGTGTGTGTGCGCGTGAGTGAAAGTGTAAGTGTGTTCATAAGCTCTGTTTTTCTTTACTGAATCAGTACAAACTAACAAAATCATCCGCTCCCTATGTGCTGGTTTACGCCCCTTCCAAAAAAATTTAAGCATTAAAAAAAGGTGCCCAGGGGTGACACCCTTAGCTACAAGATAACTGGAGTGGAATTATTGGGCTACTTTTTGAGATGAGTGTTTAAAGATTTTCGGGGATGGAGACATGATACCTTGTGGCAGTGAGGATGTGCTGTGCGTAAATGATAGCCAGACCCAAATGAAATCTGCAAGATTTTTTTTTACAGTGTTACAGTGGTAATCTGGAGTGAAAATTTGTGGAATTTATTTGTTCATTTTTGCTTGTAATGTAATAGACAATATTTATTTACGATAACTTTTTTTGAAAATCTGCAGAATATCTGCAGAGGTGTTGTTGGATTTCTGGGGTGAAGATTGTGTTTGAGGAAAAGCAAAGAATTGTCCAATATAAATTGCAGCCAGTGCCATTTTTGTTTAAAATTCATGAAAATTATAACTCATTGTCTCTCTCCATCTCTGAGTGTCCATCTGTGTGTGTGTGTGTGTGTGTGTGTGCGCACACGCAGGGGTCAGTGACAAACACCCTGGGGATACCAGCTGTGGTGGCCTGTAGTATTAACCTCGCATTGAAATAAGGAGGAAACGCGCCATATATCACACACACTTATGTACACACACAGACCAACACCCACACACACACACACACACACACACATACACACACAAGTCTGCTGTTTTAATTAGATATCGACCACCAGCGGAAGAGGGGAGGCACGCTCTGGTTATGTTTAGCTGTGATGTTTGGGTTTGTCATGTCTGACTGGGCTTTTTTGTATTATTTTGGCAGCAGGAGGACGTTAGCCAAAGTCACAATTTTCTGAATATTCAGCATTTAGTAACAAGGGGTTGGATGTGATAAGCTGATATTTGCTCATCATTGTATTTATGGCATATACGCATCAAGGTTTTATAACCTGCTGTTTAATGTGTGATCATTTTTATGGCATTTCTGATTTAATTGGATAATAAAACAGTAGCGAGATATAGGAAAACATAATCTTTTATTATTTTAATTTTTGATAGTTAAGTTTATTGTTCAGTTGTAAAATAATGCCCTGCCTCAGTGCATATCTTTGTCACAAGTTGTTAATAACCAAATTTCAGATCATTAACAAAAGTGTTTACTTAAAGAATCTGTATCAGCTTATACATATATTGTTTCTTTTTTTTCAATTAATTCAGTAGTTATTTTACTTTCGAATATCTCACGAAATCAGTTGGCTATAGAGCATGAGTGTGTGTGTATGTGTGTGTGTGTGTGTGTGTGTGTGTGTGTGTGTGAGAATGTATGTAAATCAGTAAGCAAACGTATCACTGTTAAAACATACTTAAGTGTGTGCATTTCTTACATTTGTTTCATTTATTATTTTTTAATGCTATTTCAGCAGTTTAGCTTAAAGGAATACATCACGCATAAAATGACCATTTGTATATCAGTTACTAACGCTGTGTTATTTTAAATTTGTAAAGAAAATGTTTGTTTTTCTCACATGCCTCAACAGGGAACAAAGAATCCAAAAGCGGCAAACATTTTTGATGAATTGAAGTGAATGGGGTCCACATTTAACAACAGTAAAATTATATAAAATCATAACAACAAACTCTCACACCACTCGCGCAGTATAATCTAAGTCTGATTTATCCGGTCATATGCTCAGTACTTCCCAAACACATGTATTTTTGCTAAAACCTTACTATTTTAAACACTTATGCATTAACAGTCTCAGGCACGGATAAGTAGCATGCCAAAGTGTGCGCATATGCCTGTGTTTGGAAGGTACCAAGCATGTCACTGGATAAATGAGACTTGATTTATACTGCACAAGGTGTTTGTAAGCAGATGTTTTTATGTATTTTTGCTGTTATTAAATGCCGCTCCCCTTTATTTCAGTATATCAAGAATGTTCACTGTTTTTTGGATTCTTTGTTCACCGTGGAGGTGTGTGAGAAAAACAAAGTTTTCATCACAAATTCAGTGGTACACAGGTGAATAATTGATATACAAATGGCCATTTTGTGGGTGAAGTTTTACCTTGAACCTTGAGCTTTTTTCTTTTTTAGATTTTTTTCAGCTTTTTGCCTTTATTGGATAGGCCTGATAGATATGACATATAGATAGGACTCAACCTATGCGCACACTCTCCCAAGTGAGCCATCAGGGCGCACCATCCTTGAGCACTTTTCGACAGGTGGTAGACAACACAAACAATCATTAACAACGCAAACAACAACTTTAAATGTGCTGCACAATCACACTGCCAGATTGGCTGAAGAAACACAGCAAACAGCAGTGAAGAGAGGAGGCTCAGCTGGCACATACTACAGGGGTCAGGGCAGAGTTCAGAAGTCAAGTAATGACTCAAAGAGAGGTCGATGGCCCTCTGGGGCCAACACAAACTCTGGTTCTTTAACAATGGAAACAATGGACTTGCATGCAAACACACAAGTATTCACTTATGGACAGCAGACAAGTACATAAACACAAACAAACAGAGTCTTCCTATACAGAGAGCGTAAGACAATTAAGGCACGAACATGTGCACAACAACAGAGGATCAGGCACAAAAACAGACGTTTAGACAACAAAGTAAACAACAGAGAGAAAGGGGAAGTCACTTTAAGTCAAACAAACTCAGACTCAACTATTGGCATATGACTTTGTAGCTTCAGTCAACTCAACATGCAGCCAAACTGTTGACTTTTTCCATAATGAGTGCTGATGTGCATTATTATTCCCCCTCATGTTCCCGCTCCTCTCTCTGCAGTTTGGATGAACAGCCAAGATAAATGAGATGCCACTTTCGACTCTAAAACTACAGGCCTCCCGGGGCCTGCTGAGGGACTATGAAGAGACGGTGTCCTTGTCTCTGTGTGCGTCTGTGTGCACACACAACTAAACTAAAATAATGTTATTAAACCAAGTTAATTACAGGGATGGAGGTCATCCTGTACAGACACACTTCCTAAATACAGGAACTACAAGAGGTGGAGGTGTCCTGAACCAGGTGTTGGAGTGTGTGTGTGTGTGTGTGTGTGTGCGTGTGTGTGTGTGTGTGTGTGTGTGTGTGTGTGTGAAGAGGAAGGAAGTAATGTAGAGTGCTTTCAAAGGGTGTAACCCAGGGAGTGGCTATCGTTGTGCATATTACCACTCAAGTTTATTACTGAGGGTTATAATTCAAAATTGATGCTTGATATAAAATGTATTCAGACTTAATTTAAGCAGCTAACAGTGTTTCTATAAGTTTTGATATTGAACTCTTTCTTTTTTAAAAAGAATTTAAGAACCAATTCAGAAATGTGGAAGAAAAGGATCCAGATTCTTGCATGAATCAATTTTCTCTATTAGAGAGAGGGAAAGCCGTGTAGATGCTTATGTGAGCATGTGTGGGTATGTGTTTGTGTGTGTAATCACCTAGCTGCTTAGATCACTCTGCAGTGTTTAATGACCTGGTGAGTCAGATGCTGTTATTACACCACCTCGCTGTGCTGCCATTAAGCTTCACACACCTGAGAGGGCAACATATTAGGCAAAGAAGAAACTGCTAAATATCAGCTCCAGTTTTGAAAAGGTCCTTTCATTTCACTGTCTGTCACATTCCTTTGAAAAGACAGGGAGGGAGAATCAAACACAAAGACACAACATTTGATGATTTTTAAAACTCTGGAAAGTAATTAGTAAAGTATTTTTTCTTCCATCTTGATGCCAGGGAAGTAAACAGCCAAATTGGCAGAGTGTCACAACCTGCACAATACAAGGTCTTCTACCTGGTGTGGACCATTGAGCTTATTTGACTGGCCAGCAGTGCCAAATCGGGACACAATATGTAACACAATTAGTATTTCCTGAAATAACGTTAAAACTAGAATAACCACCCTGTGGTTCTATGTCTCTGCACACCAGTCAAGTTTCTCTTATAGTTTACATCCCTGTCTATAAAAACATGGATGCTTCACACACATCTTCCCCCTGACAGCGCAGAGGATCTATACAATCAGGACAGTTTCAAGATTAGTCACCAATTAGTCCAAGTGAACGTTTGTGCCAAATTTCAAGAAACTCCCTCAAGGTGTTCTTGAGATATCATGTTCACAAGAATGGGATAGACATGGTCACAGTGACCTTTATTTTTGACCTATGACCACCAAATTCTAATCAGTTCATCACTGAGTCCAACTGGACGTTTGTGCCAAATCTTAGGAACGTACCTCAAGGCATTCTTGAGATATCACGTTCACAAGAATAGGACAAATTGGACAACCTGAAAACATAATGCCTCCGGCTATGGCTATTGCTGGCGTGGAAGCATAATAATCCTAATTGGTATTATTAGTATTAGAAGACATTTCTTGGATAGGAATGGGAGGAACTGGGAATAAGTTAATGTTTTTTTTTTAATTTCTGAAAGCACCGGGGTTTCCACAATACACAGTACGTTCGGCACAAAACAGCTGCATGGAACACCTTCTTTATTACACAAGATGTTGTTGCAATGAACAGCATCATGCAGTGTGTGTTTCAGCAAACAATTCCCAGGTAAACATGCTGTATTTTCAGTGTTTGCAGTGCGGTATTGTCCAAATACAAATAAAATACAGTAAAAATGTAATATAAAAGCCAAACTCTGTAAACATACTGACAGAATGAGGCCACTGTAAGGACGCAGACATCAAGGGGATTCAGTTAAACTTGTTTTTGTATCATGTTTGGATGGTGGTGTACGTGTATGTGTGTGTGTGTAGTATACTGCATGTGTTTTTGTTATTCTCTGCACATCTGTATGGTGTATGGCTACATATTTTCTCATGCTTGTGTTTGTGGACCAGTGTAGGTGTATGTGTCTGTGCAGTTTTCTGTCATGTCTGCTTTGCCCACTCCCATAAATATCATTATGATTGAGATGCCATAGCTCATCCCATCATTCCTCCTTATGGTGATGTGATATCTAACTCTGCAGCCCTTTCTGTGTGCTGTAATTATATACTCATTGCCCACTGTATAGTGTAGTATACTCTGTGGTTGTGTGAGAGACTAAATGTAGCTAGGTGAAATTGAGCTAAATGTGGGCTGAGCACCGTCCAAACCACTCGACGGCATTAATGTACAAAGTTATTAGGTCGGCTAAATGTGGCTTAAGCTTAGTCAGTTGATTTTACAGCTATCAAAGCTCTGAGTGTAGTCAGCTGCGTTTTTACCAGAAGTCGCACAGGCTTTAAAATCTAAATAGGGTCTACTGCTCGGTAAGCCTGTTTATTCTGTTTATATTTATTTACCATGGAGCAAGGACTGCATGTCCTTGCTCCAGAATTACTGCATGGAGTGGGATCATCAATAAATACAGACAAGAGCAATGTTTTAACAAAGATCTATCCCTCAGGAAATTAGCAATCATTTAACATGCTCTCATACACCAACTACATGTACCCTTGCCTGACCACAAGCTCATTTTGTAAGTAAGTCATGGCCCTATGGAGCTGTACATTTTAAGCAATTAGAGAGAGTTTACATAAACATAACCATTACAACTGCTACATTTAGAGGTGGAAATCATCTTGCTGATAGGAACCATTTCATTCAGTTCAGTTCAGTTCAAAGGTTCATTGCCACTGACTATGTAGTGGCGCAATGACAATGATGATTCACTATAGTCGATTTAGTTTAAAAATTCAATCATACATGTATTGACGGCCTGTTCTTGTTCCCAGGGCCTCAACTACAGCAGCTTTGTCAGTGACCATCTGCGTCTGATTGTGTCGCTCAATGCACCCTTTAGCGCCTGTATGAGATGCAACGGGTTTTCAGCTATCTCCAGTATAAATCCATTCATGGCAATGTTGTAGCATAAATAGCAAGAAAGTCCTTGCAGGATGGGAGGGAGGCGAATTTGTGTATCTTGGGATAGCGAAAGCATGACCCACCCTACCGTCCTTTTGATTGACTAGTACTCGTTGTTTGGGTTGGTTAGATTTAGGCAACAGGAGTCAGACTGGTTAGGGTAAGAATGTCTGGGTTAGCCAATCAATCAAGCAGAATAGGGGAAGTCATGCCTTCATAATCCAGGGAAACACAAATTCACGGGAGGAAGGGGTGGTGGATGGGTCAAACAGGACTTTCACCCAGGAGACTGCTGTTAATGTCCATTATCAAACATTGATTTATTTTAAAACTATGTTAACTAGTTAACCTCATGTGATATACATGTTAGGTGAAATACATCACATATGTCATATCACGACATATTCGTCAACGCTTTGGTGAGTAATGAAACAAACATTTAACCCAAACCATCATCTTTTCTCTAAACCTAACCAAGTAGTTTTGTTGCCTGACAAGACACTATGCACGTAACAAAGAAAAATTAACACATGGTCCCTCAGTGTCCAAAACTGACCCTAGAGGGGTACCTAGAGCATCATAGTTTGAAGCACAGGGCTACAGACCAGGCTGCTGTATTTGACAAGTTGGGAGTACGAATGTGCTAATATTAAAAACTTCTACTACCATTTAGAATTTGGATTTTGTCATTCTATGTTTCTTATTATATGACAGCAAGATATTAGGCCTGCTGTAACTTAACAATAACACGGGGAACTTCACATTCTCAACAAAAATTCTTCACCTTAAATTCAGCCGCTAACCAATATGATATATGGACACACGACACAACCAATAAAGTGGCTTACTCCATCAGCTAACTCTGTCTTTACCATTCACAGCCTCAAGACTCAAAGAAATGAACACCACTATTAAATTGTTAAAAAGTTAGATTAAAATAAATTCCAGTGGTCCCAAATTCTGTTGAATGTAAATTCTAATGTACAGCATATGCATGCATGTGTTATGCAAATAAAGTATATTTGTATTTGAGAGAGATGGAGAGAATGAGGGAGTGAAGGTGGGAAGACTGTGTGTGGGCAGTTGTGTCTCATGTACTTAGCATCAATAATGTACACAGGTCAGTGCCATGGAGAGAAGAAGAAGATACTGAGAAATGAAGAGTGGATGGATTTGATGCACAGTGGAGAGAGAGCGAAAGAGAAGGAAACTAAAAAAGGGAGCGAATAAGAGAGTTTGTGTTTGCATCATTTAATAGTCCAAAAGCACATCTCTATCTCCCTTTTTTCTTTTCTCCTGCCTTCTGCACACACGCTGTGGTGAGAGCACATTTCCTCGGGTGACTCCGTCTCTGAATGTCCCCACATTTAAACTTTTGAATGCTTGATTGGAGCTTTTGTGCACACGATGAATTGGTACCGAGGTGCTAAAGAGAGCAATTCCCTGTTTGCAGCAGCCCAATTTTGTATGAATGCATTTGTTTTACATAAAATCCCAGTGTGTGCTGGTACAGTATGAGCAAGCCTCTATTCACGAAGGCCTGTTTATAATACACCCACATTAAATAGTGAGTAGCAAAGCCGCCTTTATGCCATTCAAAATAGATGTTTTCAGGGCACAAATGGTCACAGCTTGTACAAAAACAGTTTAAATTAGTCGAGTTAGTAACAGTGTCTGCCAGTATGATCCTCTGAAGGAAAAGATATTCAGATTTCCTTTTGAATAGTGAGAGCTCAGACTCAAGATTGTAGCAGGAGACTCAGAGACATGTATCATTTACTACTGTATTGCATTATGCAATATTTGCACAAAATATATTTATCCATTTACCCTCAAAATGGCCAGGCTAAACAAATTTAGTTTAGTTGAGAAAACATTTTCATCAGAAGAACCAGATAATACAAGAAAGCCCTCATTTGTTTATTTACCTAAAGTGTTCCTTTATCATCACTGCAGGGTCTCTGGCGGTTTCTGTCACTGATATGACAGCTCCAGTGGTCGGCTCATCCGGTGGAGTGTACGCTCTGGTCTCAGCACATTTGGCCAATGTAGTAATGGTAAGTTTGTGTGTGTGTGTGTGTGTGCGTGTGCATGTGAGTAGATGATTATCACATCACTCAGTTGTCCTGTCACTACAGAGCATTGCCACATCATCAAAGCAGCCTGTTTTGGGGCCCAGCAGGTGCTGCTCTATCTACAAATGCCATACATTCCTCACCATCACCATCAGTTTTCCTTTTCCCAAAAGATCAGAAAGTGTGTGAGCGGGTGCATGCGAGGAAATCCCATCCCACTGCAGCTTCTGGGGCGAATTCACAAAAGGATTGAGCGGCTTTTGTAGTTGCTTAACCATCACAAATAAGACAAAAAGAAAGCATATAATATTTAAAAGCACCCGCAATGCGTGATGTACATCCTAACTGCACTGCCAAGCAAATAGCGTCTCGGCGCTTGTGTTATTTGCACTTATTTAAAATATGTAATGTGCATACATTTGGCACAAAACTGGCCACTTTCTATGCAAATGAGCCTTATTGCAAAAACAATCCAGTTCACAAACATCAGTGCTACTAGTGAAGCACAGTTACTGAGAGAGTTTGTGGGAACTAACGACACTGACAGACTGGGATAATAAATCCCAAATATGATGTCTCTCCATAACATTAAATTCCTTGCCTAAATTTTTGAGGAATACCTCTGCACCTCATCAGGACCTGTAGCTCGGGATCTTGAAGTTTTTGTGCTAAAATGTTTCTGTTTCTCTCTTTCTTTGTTCTGCACACTGTGTTCTGGGTGCAAAGGCAACATTTATACTTTGCCACATGGTTAACAGATGCAATCAGATGCAAAAAAGGGTTAATTGTGCACAGCTGTAAAATTTTATGGGTGTATTTGTGCTGCATGTAACAGCCCCAGAATCACCTTTTCCAAATCCACCAGACTCCATTTAAATAAACAGTAATTTTAGCATCATATTTTCACATGTAACTGGCTCTGTTTAAAGCAAACATGAGTTGTTAAAACAGTTAATAGACAAACTAAGATGGTTTGTGGTAGTTTTATTTTGTCTCTGTCGACTTTGAATGACGTGTGTTTTACGATGATAAAATTATTGTTTATTTAAATGTATTCTGGCAGTTTTGATGATAGCAATTTTGTTTTTGTTTTTGTTAAACAAAAAGGATCTCAGGCTTTAACAAAAATGTCTGTGTCTGTCAGAATCATTTTAATAACCTTGTCAGACACTTATAGTAACAATCTCAGCATGTCAGTGGCAAAAACAAGCACTTATAGTTAACTGCAATTAACTATAATTGACTGCACGAACATACCTTGTGTTTACATGGCAGCCATTGTTCCCATGAGTCACTTAGACACAAAAAAATGAGAAAATAGGGTCCAGGTTGAATAATACACTTTAAATGTGGATTTTTAAGTTTTTTTTGATGTGCAGAAAGCCACACAGCACCTTTTCAGGACTGTAGTGAATGCTTTGTTTTTCCCCTCGGCGTAAAAGGATGTGACATTTCGTGGACGTTCCCATAAATACTGACTGTATCTATATCTTGTGAATCGGACCTTGACACAGGGAAGATAGTGGTTGCAAGTGATGCACAATTTATGGTGCTATCAGCGGTTGCAATCCATTCTTTGTGAATTTGCCCCTCTGACATCTGCTCTGTTTGGTTAAACTCCCCATCCTGTGAGTCATCACTGACACCTAAGGCAAAAGGCACTCAGGTGAACCTCTATTATGTATAATAAGGTACTCATTATGTACCCTGCCAGATCCTCCACAACATTCTTGGCGTCAGGATGGAAGAGTTTGTCTCCCTCCTCTCAGCTGAAATCACATTATCTAACACAGCAAGAACAGATTGGGGGTCAGGGCGTCTCTGGGGCTTTCAAAATTGACGTGAATTGAGACAGAGGGCGAGATCTCATGTCATTTCATGTCAGCGTGTATGTGTGTGTGTCTGAGGAGGAGTTGACCTTCTAGCACAGTTTGTTCTGTCTGTTATCATCAGAACTTAAAAAATGACCTTCTGAATTACTCCATCCTCTCTTTCTCTCTCTTTCTGTAGAATTGGTCGGGAATGAAGTGTCAGTTTAAGTTATTCCGGATGGCCATGGCTCTGGTTTGCAGTAAGTCTGAATAAAGATGCAACGCTCCCCTTTCACTTCAGTTCAAGAATAATTTTTAACACAGGAGTTGCACTTTTAATCTGCTCATGATGCTGTTCCATCAACAGAATGTAATCTCACAGCAAAGATTCCTTATTTGAGAAATGTGCATTTTGCTCTGACAGCAACAATATTAAAGATCCTGTATGAGACAGTCAGAGCATTAGTATAGCAGCAAACCACTATTTGCTATGTAAAGATGTAGTGGAGTAATGGCGCTTGAGCAGAGTGAAGTCACGCAACCTCTATGTGTTCTGTAATCCAAGTTTCTCTGTTGTTTGTTGTGGTGAACCAGTTTGGCCACACATGCATGTTAGTTTATGTGTGTAGCCCACTGGTTAGCTCAGGGGTAGGCAACATGCATCTGCAGGGACGTGTGCAGCTCTTCAGCCTCTCTCCACCAGCTACTTGAGGCTTCAACAAGAATATCAGTTTTTTTTTTTTTTTTCATGTATCATTGTTGAAGGCCTAAAGTTATTTTTACATTCTCCAATTTTAAAAATCTGTAGACTTTAAAACAAATTTTAAAAAGTGTTTAAACATTTCTTCAACTAAATGTGTGTCATATGTCTAAGGCGTGGCACCTTTTCCTTTAGATATGGCTGAACCTCAGTAGTGGTGGTAACATTATTCTTGAGTCTCCCCTGCAGGATGTGGGATGGGGAGGGGGTTGGAGCAGTGGAAAAGCTTTTGATGGTAAAGGTTTCCGACCCCTGGATTAGGTCATCATGTCTGGATGGTGGTTACCACTGATATCGAAATGGCATCACCATGGAAGCGTAGCTCCCACCCTCCTGTTTACACCCTGAGCTCTGTCGGCACTGTTGCTGTTGTTTGGAGCTGCTAATGGAGTTAGCACCGTTAGCTGCTAGCCACTTCCATGTTGAGAACCATGTCCAGAGAACTCATATGCTCTGAATGTCTCATAGAGTCTCTTTAAATTTTCTAGCATATGGAGAATTGCTAACTGTGAAGACCAACTGAACGTGGAAAATCTCACCCCTCTTTGTGGATACGTGTCTGTGGAGGAGATTACTGTAGTTTCCAAGATGCCTTTATTGTATGTCTCTTTCCTCCAAGATCACACATACAGTCAGGTCCATAATTATTTGGACAATGATACAGTTGTCATCATTTTGGCTCTGTACACCACCACAATGGGTTTTAAATGAAACAAAGAATACCTGCTTAAAGTGCAGACTCTCAGCTTTCATTTAAGGCTTTTTTCAAAAATGTAGTATGAACCGTGTAGGAATGACAACCATTTCTTCACACAGTCCCCCAACTTTAAGGGCTCATAAGTATTTGGACAAACTAACATAATCATCAATTAAACAGTCAGTTTTGATACTTGGTTGCAAATCCTTTACAGTCAATGACTGCCTGAAGTGTTGGACACATAGGCATCATCAGATGCTGGGCTTCTTCCCTGGTGATGCTCTGCCAGCCCTTTACTGCAGCCGTCTGCACTTCCTGCTTGTGTTTTGGGTGTTTTGCCCTCAGTTTTGGCTTCAGCAAGAGAAACGCATGTTCAGTTGGATACAGGTCAGATGATATGACTTGGCCATTGCAGAACATTCCACTTCTTTGCCTTAAAAATGTCTTTGGTAGCTTTTGCAGTATGCTTCAGGTCATTGTCCAACTGCACTGTGAAGCATAGTCCAATGAGTTTTGAAGCATTTGGTTGAATCTGAGCAGATAATGGTGCCCCAAACACTTCAGCTTTCATCCTGATGCTCTTATAAGCAGTCACATCATCAATAAATACAAGAGAACTAGTTCCACTGGCAGCCATACATGGCCATGACATAACATTACCTCCACCATGCTTCACTGATGAGGTGGTGTGCTTTGGATCATGAGCAGTTCCTTCCCTTCTCCCTTCTCTTGTCTTCCCATCATTCTGGTAGTTGATCTTTGTTTTATCTGTCCATAGTATGCTGTTCCACAACTGTACAGGCTTTTTAGATGGTTTTTGACAAACTCTAATCTGGCCTTCCATTTTTAAGGCTAACCAATGGTTTGCATCTTGTGATAAACCCTCTGTATTTATTCTAGTGAAGTCTTGTCTTGCTTACAAGAGCAGCAGGATGAAAGCTGAAGTGTTTGGGGCACCATTATCTGCTCAGATTCAACTAAATGCTTCAAAACTCATTGGACGATGCTTCACAGTGCAGATGGACAATGACCTGAAGCATACTGCAAAAGCAACCAAAGACATTTTTAAGGCAAAGAAGTGGAATGTTCTGCAATGGCCAAGTCATATTATCTGACCTGAATCCAATTGAGCATGCGTTTCTCTTGCTGAAGCCAAAACTGAGGGCAAAACACCCAAAACACAAGCAGGAAGTGCAGACGGCTGCAGTAAAGGGCTGGCAGAGCATCACCAGGGAAGAAACCCAGCATCTGATGATGCCTATGTGTCCAACACTTCAGGCAGTCATTGACTGTAAAGGATTTGCAACCAAGTATTAAAACTGACTGTTAAATTGATGATTATGTTAATTTGTCCAAATACTTATGAGCCCTTAAAGTTGGGGGACTGTGTGAAGAAATGGTTGTAATTCCTACACGGTTCATACTACATTTTTGAAAAAAGCCTTAAATGAAAGCTGAGAGTCTGCACTTTAAGCAGGTATTCATTGTTTCATTTAAAACCCATTGTGGTGGTGTACAGAGCCAAAATGATGACAAGTGTATCATTGTCCAAATAATTATGGACCTGACTGTATAAACAAAAATGCAGAGCTGCTTGGCACACTGCAAAGTACATTTTTGGGAAAAGTTGTGGGCTGCTTACTTACACAGTGTTTTGACAGCGAGCGAGCTACTTGCTAGCCTGTGACCTTTCGACACTCCCACAACAATGAGTGAGACCGGCCAGAAATAAATCAAATGAACTCCACAGTCTATCTGAAGTTAATGTGAGGTTTCAGCAGTTTGAGTTTACTAAGTATAGTGAGTCTCTTTCTAAGTCAGAGGCTTATTTCCCTTTCTCTGTTACTCTCCCTCAATGGGCTGGCTCACCATGGAACACTGTCTGTGAAAACACAGAGGGCCAATTCTTTTACTCCCTATCCTGTAAATTATTTGTTTAATTTTTCTGCCTCATAGAAGAGATTGTTATTTTACGTCTTGATAAGTGCACTACTTGTTAGGAACTACCTTGCTAATATTGTGTTTTCTCTCTTTCCCTCTGTCTGCTCACAGTGAGTGTAGAGTTTGGTCGGGCGGTGTGGCTGCGGTTCTATCCTCCGGCCTTTCCTCCGTGCCCCAATCCCAGCTTTGTAGCTCACCTGGGAGGAGTGGTGGTAGGCCTGACGCTTGGCGTGGTGGTCCTGCAGAACTATGAGCAGCGACTCCAGGAGCAGTCCCTGTTTTGGATCTTCTTCTGTGTCTACACCTTGTTTGTGCTCTGCGCCATCTTCTGGAACATCTTTGCCTACAGCTTGCTTGATGTGCGACTGCCCCCGCCACCTTGACTTGCTTATTAGCGGCAGACTAGACACTGTATCCCCCTTAATTCCTCTATTGGTAGATGCCTGACTGCCTGCCTGGATGAGTCACCTCAGCCCCTCATATTCTGAGCCTTGTCGTGGGGTGATCAGAGTCATTCTACATCCAGCGCTCTGATGCAGCGATGCACCGGACATGCAGCAGGCCTTGCTGCCGGTCTCGTCATACCTTTTTCAGCCCACCTGCTCCCTTTGTGGGTTAAGCCTTGCCATCATTTCCGCTTACCATTACAAGCTAACCTCCATCTGCTCTTTGTCTACATCTCTGTTGGACATGTGTCTCATGAGTACCATGAGTATCAGCCAGTGGGACTTTTGTTGACAACACTGTGTTGACAAATGTGAAGCCTCGGATCTAACACAACAGGAGCTGTCCTGTCGACATGGCTTAACCTCCTCTGCCTCTTCCTCCTCAATCCAACGGTGCCTTCTCATGGAGACGTCAGCCTGGTGAAAGTATTTCTGCACAGTTGCCTCTTGTGTGGGGTGACGGCAGTGAAACCCTGCAGTATAAACTGTTTTCAGACAGAAGAGTTCCTGAAAATCCTGTAATCTGCCTGCGCCCTCATCATCAGTAAATGAAGAATAAGGTCATAGGAGAATTTAGGCTTAGTTGGTGTTTTGTCATCATTACAAGCAGCTCATAAGCATGAGAGGTTTAGATTAAACCAACAGCAAGATAGCTAAACCTCTCCACATTTGAAGGGAGCATGTGTATCGTCTATGGCAACCTTCAGAAGTTATTACCAATTTACCTTTGAAGGAAAGTGTGGGTTTCTATTCAGTGTTGCCTTCAGCATTTGGCACTTCCCCAGAGAAGGATTAATTTGTGTTCAGCACTATTTGAACCTCCAACTTGTGTCTTTTAACTTTTTTCGTGTGTGTGTGCAAGTAGTGTGACAATTGTACCATTGTGCGTACAGAAGAAGAAAGAAGCAGAAGTGCCATTCAGACTTTTAAGCTTTCAGAAATGATGCCAAAACATTGCTACGAGCACTGAAGGGGAGAGCACATCCCCTGACAAGAATTGCTTTTGTGCAAGCAAAATGAATCTAATTTTGTCTTTATGGAGTCGGTCATATGTAACAGAATATGTTCAAGATCTCTAAAGAACACTGACACCCTTGGGAGAACCCAGAAATGCAGCAAAATTGTCATTTTGTTGTCCCCTCTGGGCGTTTGCAGTGATTTTTGCAATCTGTTTAAAACTGCGAAGATGTGACAGAAGTTTATTTATTGATTTTTTTTTTTTTTTTATTGGTGGATTAAGGCAAAGTGGGATTAGACTAATGAAAACATTCACCAGTGGGGGCAGCTGGGTCATTCTGAATAAGTCTTTTTCTCATTACCAAACGTAGAAGAGCACACATGCCTGACCTCGACTACATCTGGGCTGGGGTCGTTTCATTCTCATATAAGGAGGCAGTGGAAGGAAAGAAGTAAATCAATGCTCCCTCATTAGTTCCTGTCACAATGTAAATTGTTAATTGATGTAACCGGGACAGAAAACGACCCCTGCCCCAAGCTGTAAGTCTCAAACTGTACTGTACTTTAACCTCATGTTACGCTGGTAACTGCTTCGCACAAACATTATTATAATGTAATTATATACAGATTAATATTTTAACATGCATTCGCTGTTGATTTTTTTTTTACTTGGTGATATTGGTATGTTGTGTGAATTGTTTGTTCAGTCTGCATTGTGATACCTTAGCTATATCCTGTATGTATCCTATTTAAGAATTGGTTAAAGATGGTCTGGGGTTGTATATAATAAGGGCTATGACACAAAAGTGAGTGAGGGGTAAATCGCTGATAATATTTTAACAATGTGCATATTTTGTAGATTTGATATGTACATACTGGAGTACATTAAACAGTTTTATACAGAAACAAAGTACGATTTCTTTGGATTTGCCTTCATTTACATCAGTGTTAACACACATGCTCACACTCGCATATAGCCTTTTTATTCAATATACTTGGGACAGGAATTACCTCCCCATTGTGCAAAGAACAGGGCTCAAACCAAGCAGGTCTGCAGCCTTGAAACCAGATTAGCTTTCCAATCCCAGTGTTTAGAGAGAGCTCAGGGCCCCGGAGTGAAGAGCCGGGCTAAGAGCCTTTGGGGGGGAAAAAAAGCAGACGTCAAAGTGATCAATGAAATGCGCGAGCATACAAGAATCAGCCATAATTCATTCAGAGAAGGGACTCCTTAAGCTGTCACTGAACGTCTTCTCTGTCTAGCCAGTACAAACATATGGAGAGTAGCAGTTTTGAAGGCGTACAATGAAAAATTCATTAGGCGGCCAAGGAAAGCCGCCTCAGTTGTGTTTCCCCTTCATAAATCTTCAATTTCAGAGGTAATCATTCACCTTGGTGAGAAAGAGAAGACAAGTGAAGCTGCAGGGAAGGGAAACGTGAATGTGTGAATGCATTTGCAGTGTCTTTGCATTTATGCTGCCTGCTGAAAGCTGCTCTTGTTACAATTTGGCCACATTTTATTTGCATTTTACATCTTTTCAGGAGTTACTGTCATTGCTAGAAGCGGGCATTTAGGTTGACAGTTTAGGCAAACATTACCAATGTTTCTAATGAGATGATGGTGATAATGGTGTGACTGTGGCATTGTTGGTGAAGTACACTGATACGTTCTGTCAGCATGTGTGGGTAATGCTTTGTATTGCATGTGTGTCTGTGTGCACATGTGTGCGACTTTGTACTCCGTAAGAGTACAATTCTTTCTGCTTACTATTTTTGACATGAAGAGGATATTGGTCAGTGGACATCAGACGGTGCCTAAACAACACAGGCAATTATGACACTGGAAAATCAAGCAAAGTATGCAGACACACATTACACCCGTGAATATTTCATTCTTCATCTTAAATATTCAGAGCATTAGTGAGGTCAGTGTCACAATTTATCCCAAAGGTGTTAGATGAGGTTGAGGTCATAGATCTGTGTCTTCCACATGCACACAGGAGACCATTTCTTTATTGACCCCAGTTTGTGCATGAGGTCACTGGAAAGTTAAAAGAGGTGAGGTCCTTCCCATACTTGTTAACACAAAGCTGGAACTAGCGATTGTTAAACGTCCCTTGACTCCCTATTGTCCCTTAATTGGAATGGAGGGAACTATGAAAAACAGCCCATAACCAGGAGTATAGAAGAGATTGCAAACACGGGTATCTATGTCCTTATTCCCATGGGTAGTCTATTTTTTTACAAAATACACAGCCTTTCAAATATCATAAATTGCATGCCAAACATGTAGCCATGATGCCAAGGCAGAGGACCCAGTTTCTATTTCTGCAACGCCGTCTCCATCAAGTGGACACTGATGATACAACAAGTTGCAATCGTATGCATGTGATAAGAGGTTGCTATCATTCTCTTCTCTCTGTATGGACCACAATATTCAGTATCCAGGGGAACCAAATTGCACGTCTTCGGTTTACGTAAACAAGAACATAAAATGTTACAATAAAGGAAAAACATAAAACAAGTGCAAAGACAGTAAAATGCAAGTAGGGGAGATTGGGGTTGGTTTGCTACAGATATTTTCTTGTTCTTTGAGGGTGACAGAACCAAAATGGTATCATAGAAATGTTTGCTTTTTTCACTTGCACTCATCTACAAACTTTTTTTGGTGAGGGTAACATTTCAGTTTGATAGTATCTGGTCTGTGGATTAAATGTATTTTAAAACTGTGTGAGATAGAGATATTGGTAATTACTTCTAGTTAAAAGACAAAGGAATCAGCTACATTTTGATATTAGATTTGAAAGTCTGTGATGAGTTGTCGTAGCTGGCAACAGAATTTTATCACAAAGTTGGGTCAAATGTAAGCAGCGTTGGTTGACACACTGATTTGGGAGTTTTATAATTAACAGTTGTATCTGTAACGGTATTTAAAGAGGTCAAAACCATTTTTGAAAGATTAAAAACAATTTTTATATTATTATCTTTTCAATATTAATCTGAATGGTCAATGGCAAAAATAATTAGACATTCCTACTGATAAATTGCTGAGAGGTGTTTTTTGCTTTTTGAAATGGGTAGATATTCAATTAAATGTTCATGTTTTCTGGTTCTCATTTGAAGTGAAGGCTCAGATTGTTTACACTGGTTGCTTCATTTTTTGTTACTGTGGCATTTTTAAAATGTGCCAACCAACGCCATAAAGTGTGCCAACCGACCTCGTGATGGGGCTGATTAGCATAGATGCAAACATGAATTTAATCAGAAATCACTTAATTTTAAAAAACATTTGTGCACATTAAAATATATGTATTTATAATTGACACCTTAACCTTTCATGTGTGCCAGAAAAATATGTGCCAACCAACCCCAGTCACTCCTAGTACTCAGCTGAGTCAAGTCATAGCCTGTAAATATATAACCTGCTTATGTTTATTTTTCAGGTTTTGTTGCACCCATAAACTCACTGTAAAAGTCGTAAGTAATTTGTTATGAAGTGTTGACATAAGTGTGAGACATTTGGACCTGTGCTGAAGCGGGTCTTACATAATAATACAGCCTAAAGCCTGTAAGAAAACCCTTTAAATCAAATTAACATTATAGAAAATCACTGAAAAGATCTAGTCGGGCTGATTGTAGACCATATATTGTGATAATAATATAATAATATTATTGATATGCTATTACCTGTCTCTAAAACTAGGGGCGTGTCCATGCCATGACGTCTGTTTTCTGTGCTCGCGAGGCTGCTGTCTCCTCTACAACTTCCTCCAGCTAAGCGCCATTTTCGGCGTTGTTACGGGACTACAGCATGCTGTTGTCAAACAGATAATAAGACTAGTATTTAACGTTGTAAGACTTTTTTTCAGTATTCATTAAAAATGGGACGGAAAAAGAAGAAGCAGATGAAGCCATGGTGCTGGTATCCTTTTAACCGGTCGACGCAATACCAACTCAGAAATGTCAGATGCTAAGCGTTAGCTTGACAAAAGGAAGGCCTAAGCTAACCGTTAAGAGGGTTTATCGGCTTGCGAGCTAGCGTTAGCTTAATTATTTGGTCATTGGACGCTAGAAAAGCGTTTCGGGGATTGTTTTTACTCAGTCTACATCTGTAAAGTATTTGGCGTCGAGTGCATTTACACAGTAGTAATGGTAGATTCCGATGAGTTCCTGGTATTGCTAAAAGGGAAGTAGTGCTAGCTATCTCCGCTGCGATGTTGGCGAGCTCACCTGTTAGTTATGCACTGATGATTCAGGGTTAGCTAACGCTTTCATTCACGCCTCAAAGGTGGTAAGTCTAAAGACCTTATATTTGAGTTTATTTTGAAACCCTACAACTTTCACTGCCCGGTCGTTGCTCATAAATGGGGATGAAGATTACACCCCAGAGCATGGAATTTTATTTTAGGTAACATTTGCATGTATTTGCATGATGTGTTTTTGACGTTATGCTTCGACATAATCCTTAACTCCACACCCAAGGTACTGTAATCGAGACTTTGATGATGAGAAGATCCTCATTCAGCATCAGAAGGCAAAACATTTTAAATGTCACATATGCCACAAGAAGTTGTACACAGGTCCAGGCTTGGCTATCCATTGCATGCAGGTGGGTGCTTTTTTGGCTGTTATTTATCCTAGTTTAGTTTAACTTAGTTTGGTGTATTCTCTCATAAAGTGGATAACAGATTAACTTTGTTTATTATGACAGCACACACTGATTCATTTTGCATGCGTTTCAGGTACATAAAGAGACAATTGACAGTGTACCAAATGCAATTCCCGGAAGAACAGACATTGAGCTGGAGATCTATGGTATGGAGGGGATTCCAGAGAAAGACATGCAGGAAAGAAGACGAACGTTAGAACAGAAATCACAAGGTTTGTACATCTTAATGTACTTTTCTTTCCAAATTGATTAGAAGCCTAGATGTCTCTGCTACACGTTACCTTAGCGTTCACAACGGTCTTGTGTATTTGGAATGATTTAAAGCTAAGGGAGATTCTTGGTAATGTGTAGCATTATCAGAGCCATGAGAGTTAGGGGAGCATAAATCCAGGGGTATCCCATCTTGGTTAATTTTATGTTCTGTCTCTACTTTGTTTCTTAATGCGGTGTGCTTACATTAAAATCAAAGTTTTTCTTGCAGAAGCTTGGGTTGATTTATGTTGTATTATGTGTAAGCCTCACATTACCTGATGTATGCATTACCTCTCTGTTTTCAGAGAGTCAAAAAAAGAAGTCAAATCAGGACGACTCTGATGAAGATGATGACGATGATGATGAAGCCGGACCATCAGCTCAGCAGGTTCCTGCTGTCCAGCCCCAGGCAGGCTACGCTGCCCCAATGGCACAGCTTGGGATGCCTCCTGTGGCTGGGACACCTGGGATGCATCCTGGAGGTTATCAAGGCAAGGACCTCTTAGTAAAAAGCGGAAGTTGGACATTAGCACTGACTCATCTTGATAAAATAGAATTTAAACAAACACTCATAAGTTAATTCTGAGTTAGACTCCAGTGACTCATGACTTCACACAGACCGTGTCACTTTAAAGAGTAGATACTCCTTCTAAGCTCAAAGCTGATGAATGTTAGCGGCCTCTACCAGGCACTACCAGAGAGCTTTCATGTAAACCTGTAGAACAGGACTATGGGCCACAGATGAATGAGTTACTATAGGTTGAATTGCATTCATAACCTTTTACAAATGTAATTGTGGGAAATGGATCTCTGACAAGGCTGTTAATGTATCAAAGGATATGTTGATGAAAAGCACCGAACACAAGAATTCTTCATTTGTGGTGCCTCGATTTAAAGGTGACTTAGGTGATCAAGTTGATCGACACATGTTGTCAGTTTGTCCTTTTTCTTTTTGAGCATGAATATATATGTATTGCACAGTGTCAAGTGTAAGCCTCTCCCACCAACACCCTACATGACTTGTGTTGTCTTCTCCGCATTTAATAATTGTTAAGCATTCAGAGTGCTACAGGCTTGCAACATGCAAAATGTAGCAAAACCGAGTTCAAGAAACTGTACAGATAGAGCAGGGAAATGTTGGCATGGTTGTGGGATTACTGATAGCACAATATGTTTTTTGTTGTTGTGTGTCCAGTTACCTTGACATGCTACTGCTTGTTTGGAGTGATGTAATGTTGAGTTATTGGTAAACAGAACATTTCCTCTTGCTCATTGTTACAGGACTGCCTCCCATGATGCCAGGCGTTCCTCCCATGATGCATGGTATGCCCCCTGCCATGCATGGAATGCCACCAGGGTAAGAGATCTCTTAATGGCATGTGTTCACTATTTTAGGTTTGAAGCTTTTTTTTCCTTTTGATTTTTCTTAACAACTTATTTGTTGTGGGGTAGAATTATTTCTGATTTTACTGCAGTGAACGCAACATCATGTATCATTGTCTTACTGGTCTTATTGCTTTTTGCAGCATGATGCCAATGGGTGGAATGATGCCTCCCATGATGCCTGGGATGCCCGGTATACCCCACGGTGAGTGTTGGTTGTATTTTCGTTTAGAGTAACAAGAAACATTTAAAGTCAGTTCTAGCTCCATCTGAACAATTTTGCTCCTTTTATGTTGTCAGTGTAATAGTGCAAGAAGGGTTAATTGACTGTGTTTGGGTGATTGTTTAGGAATGCCACCTCACATGGCCCCACGGCCAGGGATGCCCCATATGGCCCCAGCCCCCGCGGCAGGAGCGATACCCAGTCGACCGGCAGTACCAGTGGCTCAGCCTGCCGTCACCAAACCTCTTTTCCCCAGTGCAGCACAGGTGGGCCCTATGCAATCGCCCAAACAGCACACACTTGCATAGGCTTTTCAGAGCGTTTAGAGGTTTATGTAAGCCTGTCATTCAAAGTAGATAGTTGTTGACGTGTTATGATATTAAACCTCCTATATGGTTTCTTATGAACACAGTACTCAGGGATGTTTTTGACCTACTTCTCAATACTTCTTATTTTCTCATGTCCTTATTCCTCATTTTCTGTGGTCAGCTGTTCCTCCTTTTGTCTTCCTCACCACCATTACTTTAAAAAAAAAAAAAAAAAAAAAAAAAATCAGTGTCACTGTTGTATAGCATACTTTGTTCTCATTATTGAATTTGGATAGATTATGTGGACATGTTACCTGCCAATACTGTGATCTCCTTTCCACCATGCTGCAGATGGGCGCTGGTGTTCACAGCAGCACAGCAGCCGTTTCCTCTCCATCCGCAGACCTTCAGTCTGCCTCCTCCCAGCCTCCCTTTCCTAACACGCCACAAGTAGGCTCACAGACAGGACTTTGACTTGGGCTGTGGCAGCTGCATGTTGCTTATCTATTAACTCCGCCTGTAAATTCTCAAGTTGTAAACAAGGCTGATTACTAACAGTATTTGCCTTGTGCATCAAACTGAGCACGTCAGCTATAATGTTGGTGTCGGAGGATGATTATCCCTGACAACAACTGACATACTGTTTGTCTGTGAGCTTTATTACTGTGCATGTGCTTTGATTAATGCAGAATGAGGTGTAGCAATGGATTTACATGGATCTTACTTTGCATTATTCACCCCTCCTAACCACTGGAGCATGAATTCTGCAATAACTCATAATTCTCTTACGCTGCAGTAGTGCATAACACACTATCTGAATTCTAAATGTCCGTTGGCTGGTTATTCCTTTATTACAGGAGTTGTCTTTCATCTGATGATTTATTGACTTTTGTGGATACGAAGGGTTTGACTCATTTCATGGAAAATCTGCACTCCAGTTGAAAGTAAATGGTGTACATGTAAAGGACAATTGTCTTGTTCCTCAAATCAAAAAGACTTAACTGATTTTTTGGGGAATTCACAAGTCATGATGATAATAATTTACATATCTCAAGTGGAATCCAAATACTAAACAAAAATCAGAAGGACCAAATCAGAGATGAAAACATGATTTTGAGTGTATGAAAAAACAAACTCTAAATGGAATGTTTGGGGTTTCTCAAATACCTAAAATATTTTGTTACATAATGATTGTCGCAATGAAGAATTCACTGAGGACTTTTGTGACTTTAAAGTTTTTTTCTGTCTCTCTTGCTCATTGAAAAATAAGAAAGCAGCAGTTTGGACTACCAGTCAGTTACCTGTGTTGTGTCTTTGTACAGGCCCAGCAGAGCACCTCAGGAGCTGCAGCCTCAAACTCCCACAGCACAGCCGCCTCCTCCGACCCTCCCAAAGCAACATTCCCTGCCTACACCCAGCCCTCTGTCTCCTCTTCCTCTTCCACTTCCTCTTCTTCTTCTAACCCCTCTAGCAGCACTGTGGCCAAACCCCCGGCCACAGTGGCCACCAAGCCTGCTATCCTCACCACCACGAGTGCAACTAGTAAGTTGATCCATCCTGATGAGGATATCTCACTGGTAAGTTGCTTGAGCTTTCTATTTTGCCCTTTTCACAGTAAGTAATGACTGATACATATAATAGTACATTTATTAAAGAATGGGTCAGTGCCATATTTGACCATCAGTCTGGTCCTGAATATATTAGTATCACAATTAAAAAGTTTGGTACGAAGTTAGATATTTCTGGGACATCCGCCAAGCATTTAGATTGTTTATCTTTACTTAGTAGTTTCTCTTTTGTGGTTATGTTGAAGGATGATTCTGAACTTGAGTATCCTCAGTGTGAAATCAGGGCACGCCTACATAGGTACCCAATCCCCCGTCATTTTTGTGAGTGTTTATCTTTGTGTACTGTAAGGGGCATAACAGAGTTTCTTTAGTCTGAATATTTGCTTTGTGTGTTGTCCCTGCTAACAGGAAGAGATGAAGGCTCAGTTGCCTCGTTACCAGCGTCTTACACCCAGGCCGGGTCAGGCCCATGCGGCTGCTCCCCCAGTGGCAGCTGTAGGCAGCATAATGCCCCCACAGCAAGGCATGCCACCACAGCAGCCTGGCATGAGGCATCCCATGCATGGTAAGAAAATGCTTGTTCAGAAATCAGTCGGTGTAAAATACCCATCAGATTTGTTTACATTTCAAACTTTATCACTACAGCACTTTCTCAGTTTGTCAATTATGTTTAGTCACTTTATTATCACTGTCTGTGTTAGTTTGCAGTTATTACTGCACTGAACATTCACCATTTTTACAGTAATTTTTCCTCTAGATCATTGGTTCCCAGACATTTTTAAACATTTGCACTCCTCCATATATGTTTTTTATGGCACATTAGGTGAAGTAGCTTGTAGTATACATTTGAATGCATTCTATGGATATGTGAAGATGCCATGGTCAAGCTAAAGCTGGGTTTTAAGTTACTTGATTAATGAATTATCGTTGCATGATCGTTATCCGGGCCTATCAAGGCATTTTTTTAATGATCGGGATCGCTAATCTAGAGCCTGATCTGATCGAGCAAAGCTGCACTAAAGCAACAAACAGTGGAGGATGTTCTTAAAGGGACAGAAATTCCCTCGAGGCAGCTACAAGGACAAAGAGATTAAAGAGGCCTTGCTATATTATACATGAAACAGAAAAATACATTTAAAAAATATTAAGAAACAGCTTGGGTGCAGGGACTTTTTTCCTTAATGCATTGCAGCGCTATTTATTTGTCAAACATATACATTGGGTTGATTTCAATAACTTTTAAGTACTTCAAGTGTGCACTGTGCAGCTGTATTATTAAGGAAAATACAAGTATCTGAACTGGACTTGGAATCAGCAGATATTCTATTAAATCCCTGGGATATGGATTGAGGGCAAAAAAAAAAAAAACTTGATCGGGACATCCCAACTTGATCTGAATACAGAAGTGCTCAATTAATTTATATAAGCTGCAACTTAATTGGCAGCTGTTGAATCTGTAAGAATTCCAGCATGACCATATTCTGCTCTCCCTGTGTTCTCTCTGTAGGTCAGTATGGTGCTCCTCCTCAGGGCATGCCAAGCTACATGCCTGGAGGGATGCCTCCATATGGGCAGGGTCCTCCTATGGTGCCCCCTTACCAAGGAGGCCCTCCCATGGGCATGAGGCCACCCGTCATGTCCCCGGCTGGACGCTACTGAAGCAGCAAAGCAGCCACCACATTAGGTTTGAGGTTAACACCTTTCTCTCATCCTTGTGCTTTTTCAAACCTAGCTGCAAGCAAAGAGCAGTTAAGACCAGTGGTGGTGAAGACAAACATTATTTGTTAGGACACATGGACATTAAATGTAACATCTTTATTGGAAAACAGCCAAACACCACACAAGTTCCTGAATGCTATTTTGTTGTCATGATTACATGTGAGGATATATTTTTCCCCCCCATAGGTTTCACTCAGGTTTATAGAAGTGACATGTGTTTAAATGATTCATATTTCTTTTGAAGCTGCTGGAGTTACATGAACGTACCAACCCCTTACAAAGGCAAGTTTCTCTTGTAAACATTTGATTATTTTTATTTTGTTTATTCTTTTTCTTTGGTATATATTGATTGAGGCCCTCACAGCACGTTTAGGTGCTGTTGGACTTGCGTCCCCAACTTTGGTTGGTGAGGGTCTCAGTGATGATGATGATTCCAGCTAAGTAGTGTTACACATTCACAACACATCAGTCTCTAGCTTTATCCTTATTTCAGGTTTGTTTTTAATCTTTCCTGGTCAAGAGGGTACCTGTATGCATTCTTTGTAATGTTTTATGAATCTGTTGTAATAAAATTCATCTTGAAATCCAATGCTGGTTTTTCCTGACACGCGTGGAGGTGAGTGATGAAGGTTTGTACTGACATTTTACAGCTGTTTAACGACAGGATCTCATCAGGTATTTAAAAACCAAGTTTGCCATCATCTAATTTTTGCGGACTCCACCTTATGTTGTCCGATAAAAGACGGGATATTGAAGTACAGAAGAAAATGCATTTCCATTAGTTCAGAAACAATAAAAAAAATGAATGTGCTGAAATCTGGTGGACCACCACCCCCAAACTAAGATGTTGGCCAACTTGTGGTTCCAAATAATGCATGTTAACGTCATGATAATGATGGAAATAACTGCAGATTATATAATGACACTTGAAGATGGAGTGCACTGACACAGTGAGAGAGAAACTTTTTCGGAATCATTAACCTTTCTGTCTGTACATACATACCAGTACTCAAACATGCATGGATGCTATAATGTAAGTGTTTGTCACATCTCACAGTCATGTCCCCATAATGCACCACAGGGGGCAAGCAAAACAACAAACCCAGCAATACTGTAGCTCTGTGTTAAATTCCAATTTTGCGAAGCTCAGTTCTCATTTTTTTTATAAACTAAAAAGCTGATCAATGCTATAATATACTTAATACTAATACTTTGGTAACCTTTTTTTCATAGTGATTGTAACTGATCAGCAATTCAGTGGTTATGTTAATTGGTTTGCCCTTGTTTAAATTGCACATGGGAGAAGTTTTCCTTCTTGGCTTTCTCAGAGAGCCCCTTCTGATAGACATCTATTCATTTTAACCCAAACCATGACCTTGTTTCTAATCTTAACCTAGAATTCCCTATTCTCCCAACTACATTCATTTCCTTATGCTTGAAGATCTCAGATGGTGGCACAAACTGCTTAATGGAAACTTAGTTTGCATCTGTAGTTGTGATTTACAGCAGCAAGTCCTGAATTGTTGGTGCATTCCTGTGAAATAATGTAGAAACTAAAAGTTAAAATTAAAAGACAAAATCCAAATGGAAGAAAACTTGCATCAGCAAACAGGACCAGTGGTCACAATGAGACCCTCTCCAGTACTAACTTACCTAACCATATATGTATAAACAGAATTTGAAATGACAGCGTAACAATACATAAAAACCTGAGATGGCTCAAGAAAAGCTGCTTTACTTGATTGGTATTTACTGCAGCGCTAGTTTGTATTGCTGAGTGGTTTCGTGTTTTGTCCATGCTTCTGCTTAAACGTTTGACGTAATCATCAGCCAGTGTCATCTGCAGTGATCCTGTGTTGGAGATTGCTGCACAGAGAGCAATCTCTAAGAGAATAAATGTGAATAAAAAATTGATCACAAAAAAAGGAGAATAAAGATGTAGCCAGCAGGTGCCCAAATTTGAGTTTTTAGTTCATACAAGGATCAAAAGCCATGGTGGCAAGAAGTTACTGTAGGTATTGAGTGTTTCCTCTGCATATGACTTACTGCTTTGTATTTGTTTTTGTCTGTAGCCCATCCATAACAGCCTTAAAACCCACTCAGCTGGCATGAAAGGTCAGTTAAACCCAGTAAGTACCTGATGTTTATTATAGTGTGGGTCTTTCCTGTACAACTGGATGCTCGGCCTGTGTTACATGATGTAATGTTAAAGTGTGTTGTTAAAATGTGTAAGATAATTCACACTTACATAAGTGTTAAAGAGAAGAGAAGAAGATTATGCCTTAAATAACAGTTCTATTTTAGTTATTTAAAAGATAAAGATTTGGGTATTGAAATGTAAATGTCAAATTTTTATGGTTTTGTTCTGTCTGGTTAGAAATTGACATGGTCAGCAATGTGTGTATCATGTTAAAGGCTCAGCTCACCTTAACAACGAAGAAAACGATCACTTTTCTCAAGTGGTATCTAGCACTGCGGTTCCCAACCTTTTTGGCTTGTTACCTCTGAAAAGAGGCATTCAACTTCCATAAATCTGGGAGTCTGCAAACATGGAATCTTACACTTCCCACAATGCATCTTAACTTTTCATTAGACCCTGCAGCCAGGTGAACACCCATGTGTTTCACACTTGACACCCCCACTTTAAAGGGATAGTGCACCCAAAAATGAAAATTCAGCCATTATCTACTCACCCATATGCCGATGGAGGCCCTGGTGAAGTTTTAGAGTTCTCACATGCCTTGCGGAGATCAGCGGGTGGAGCAGCTAGCACACCTAATGGCAGACGGCGCCCCAGACTAACGTCCAAGAACACAAAATTGAATCCACAAAGTACCTCCATACTGCTCATCCATAGTGATCCAAGTGTGCTGCAGCCGCGACATAAAAAGTTGTTTCGAAAAACGTCATATGAACTCTTGTTTTTAGCCTCACTGTAGCCTGTAGCTCTGACTGCTTCTCTGTGCTCTGCGCTCACGTGTGCGCACCTGCGCGAGACCAGCGAAAGCATGAGCTTTGCTCACCCGTGTTTACATCACGTGACACGTGCACCGCAGGGAGAGACAGCGTAACCACAGAGCTAAAAGATAATTTGCGCTATGGTCTTTTAGCAAAAGACAGCCCAACATGTCTGAAGACTTTGAAACTGAGGAGGAACAGCATTTCTTTGTTGAGCCGTATTTGTTTGAGCCCGAGTATACGCACGGAACTCAGGCTACTGGATGAAGCAGCCGCCGCAGCTCATGAGCACTGGAAACCTGGTGGTGTAGTTATTTCAAATGCAAAGCAATGCCAACAGATGAGGAAAGTCTTTGCTGCTCAGACTGGGAATTGGCGATGCCTGCACTTGAGAATCTGGACATCAGTACTGACGAGACTGCTGCTCTTCAGAGATCACTGATCACCCTGAGCGCGCGAACACATGAGCGCGGAGCACAGAGAAGCAGTCAGAGCTACAGGCTACAGTGAAGCTAAAAACAGAGTTCATATGACGTTTTTCGAAACAACTTTTTATGTCGCGGCTCCAGCACACTTGGATCACTACGGATGAGCAGTATGGAGATACTTTGTGGATTCAATTTTGTGTTCTTGGACGTTAGTCTGGGGCGCGGGAATATTCTGTTATCTGATAGCAAAAAGTCATTTACGGAGTGTAATGAAAATGATAGTCCATAATCCCACAACAGGATGGGAAGATGTAGAAACACTAGAAATAATTTCCAAATATGTAAATGCTATTGAGTTGAAAAATTGAAATAAAGAAACTACATAAGAACACTTTAAAGTAATGCTAGACTGCTGCTATTGCCGTTAAGGGTGGAACAGTAGTCTAGATAATAACTTGATGAGGTCTATCTGACCAAAATGTTGCATTTAAAATAACAAGAGACATTTAACAGTGTGTGGATTAGTTTTTGAATAAAATATAGGCGGATCTTTCATTGTTTTTGGTTTGTTTTTTTCCCAGTTCTCATCACACTGGTGTCTCCTGTTATTTTGAGCTTCAGTGATTGAATCAGATTAAATACTCACAATGTCAACTATTACTCCTGGGATAAAGTAAACTAAACTAAAGTTAAAAAGCAATTAAAATCATCGTCATGTGTTTAGGGTCATAAAAAATATTTAGTACTACTCTTCCTTTGTCTGTCACTCTGGACTGTTGTCCATGTCTCGATACTTTTTTCCCAGGTATCTGATTGGTCAATGGTCGGGGTGTTGACAGGTTGTGAACCCAATCCTCTGAAGTTATACTGCTGCGGAGCAGGTTAGCTGTTCATCATATGTTACCATGGTGATTTATCCTGGATAAAAGTGAACCAGCTTTGTAGTACTGAAACACCAGAGTGAACCCTGAACTTAACTAGCTAACTTCATAGTACAGGCCTCAGCTATTTGTAGTTAAAGGAACATAAACTGTCATATAAAGAACAATTGTCCAGAAAGTAGCCGGATGTTTGGATGAAAATGTTACACATCACAATGTCAGAGTCATGTTTGTTTGTTTATTTTTAATAAAACTATTACATCATTCTGCTGCCACTTGTTTTCCTTGAATTAGATTTAAACTTGAGGTGAAATCCACAGTTCTTAGTTCCCAACCAGTGTTTGTGGGATGATAGTGATGAAGCTGAGCTAAAGTCCAGGAAGAGCAGTCTCACATAGGAGTTGTTTTCCAAGTGAGTGAGGGCCTGATGAACCACAGATGAGATGGCGTCAGCAGTGGAGTGGTTCTTCCTGTAAGTGTATTTGTGAAGGTCTACTGTCATGTTAGCTGTCCTTTTCATGTGTTTCATTACCAGCCTTTCAAAGCACTTCATGGTAATTGGGATCAACTCAGAAGCTTGTGGAACTCTTTACATTTTGACTGCAGATTATTTGGCAATACAGTCACTGTGCAGCCGTGTGGAAAGATTTTCTTCAGACAGGTTTTACTAGTTTTGTATGATAGATAAGGAGAACGTTCAGTCTGTTCCATGAAGCCACTGTTGTATAGGACTGGATCTGTGCTGCCAATAAAAACACAGCATCACGGGGAGCACTCGTTTGGTGAGGTAGTTCATGTTACACCCCAGGGTGAGACATTCCTCTTTCTTATTACAGTATTTAAAGTTCAGTATATGTTGCACAACAAACTAAAAACTCCGACATGATAAATTTTGCAGATGTTGCAGATGTTAGACCTCTTGACATTATGTCAGATTTTAGCACTGATGAGCTCTGTCTCAATCTGAGCTATAAGATTATGTAGGTGTGTTTGTACTGATGGTTTAATGATATCATGTTCATGAATTACATTTAAAAATATTAAATTTTGTATTACCAATTAATGTAACGCCCGTTAGTTGAATATTTGCAATGAAATGTTAAATAAATGGCTAATGAAAGTATTTTTGCTTCTCATTTTTATTGACAGAAAACAGTCACCTGGTACTTTAATGAAACATGATTTACACACAGTGTGTCAAAGTAACACTTTTATATGATTATCTGGGTTACACATGATTTACACACTATTTTTAACACAAACATTTATGTGTTACTCCATGTAGCAGCTGGTGTGTAAGCAGTTTACACACCAGCTGTGTTGAAATGAACGTGTTGTATCTGAGCACACTACATGTGTTGAAATTCAACACGTGTCATTTTTAACACATCACCTCTTGAGAGTGTATGAACATGTTTCTCACATTAAAAGAGCACATCTTTTGGGCTTCGTGAGAAACATGGTGTAAACACATTTTCAATTTTGAGCATCACACTTATTTTCCTGTGTTCTGATACATTTTATGCACCAGTTTATGGTGCAAATGTCTTTAATTTAGTCAAAATAGAGGTCAGAGATTTATCACTTTTAGCTTACTAATGCTATTTCAACTGATTATTGTGTTTACCAGTATGTCACTGCGATTCCAGGAACTTCACTTTTCGGCAAAGTGAGCAGGAGTGAGCGTGTTTTGAATAAACATCTCATTTCTGTCTGGTCTCGTGTTGCCTTGGTGATCACTCTGTAACTTTCCATTGCATGATAATTAAGTGCTTCATATCTACATATTGCAACAAATTACTGTGCAGATTATACTGATGTGACCAAATTTGCCTTGTTTGCATTTCCCTCTGTGCACATAAATAAAGAAGCTGATTTATAAAAACAAACATTACATTAAGAATATATAGCTACTGTCATTGTCACAGGCACTCACCTGTTATTTTGCTGATAACAGGTGTTCACAGTATAGGCTGTAAAGGTAAGTACTTAGAGATGAAACAACATGTATGATAAATGCAGTACGTGTGTGATATCTCCAGGTTTGGGGACCACTACGTATGGAACAAAGTGCATCCTGAACACTATGGGGAGATGTTCATGAAAAACATCAACAGTGACGCCTGCCAGTGTAAAGTCACATTTGTCAAGGCAAGGAAACATAAACATTTCTATTAAATCACTGTCTTTGTTGTGAATGCCTGTGCTCCACCTGTGATGGCAGAAGCTGATCTTTATACCACAACTGATTTTTAGGGGAATGAAGTTGGGTAAAATGTGTTTTTCTTTCCTTTAAACTGTAGACAGAACTGTTTAGTCCCTGTGGGATGTGACTTGCTCTCGTTATAAAAGAGGGACTTTGTTGTGTATTCCTGACTGTCATAGGACTGTGGAAAATGTTTATCAATGAGGTAAACAGCAATAATATTCCATGTTCAAAGAAAATAAACTGTTCAGTGGCTGGAAGACATATGGTGTGTCACACTTTGTTTTTGTATGTGTAAGGGATAAACCAAAATTTAGTTTGTTTATTTTACTCACTGCCACAAAAAAATATCTCCCAAAGTAGTGATCATCAAAAAGTGTTCCTCTTTTGAGACAATTTTATTTATATAGCTCAAAATCATGAAATTGATCTCAGGACAATTTTCATAAAGATCAGATCAAGACCATACTGTTTATTTACACAGACCCAACAATTCAAATGAATTCCCACCAAGAGCAAGCACCTATTTTTCCCCTGTTGTGCGACGGGGGCGAGGAAAAACTTCCCTTTAACGGGAAGAAACCTCGAACAGAACCACAACTCTGTGGTTGGTGGCCATCTGCCTCTGCCGGTTGGGTTGGGACAGAGAGGGATAGACAGAGAGATAGGCACAGCAACATCAATAATAACTAATAAGTGTCATAATGGGGCTCCAGGTGGCTCAGTGGGTAGAGCAGGCACCCCATGTACAAAGGCCCTGTCCTTGCTGCAGCAGCTGAGGTCGATTCCAGCCTGCAGCCCTGCACCAGGTGCTCCCACAATCCCAAGAAACCTGCAAGGGGAGAAAGCACAAAGACTCGGGGGAAGAGGCAAAGTTAGCAACATGCATTAGTGGGACATGAATAATAAAGTAAATAAAGTTCAGTACTTTGACGAGCATTTCTATGCATATGTTGTGCAACAAACTAAAGGCAATTTGGAAAACTTACACATTTATGTGTTGAGCCATGTAACACAACTGGTGTGTAAAAGCAGTTTACACATCAGCTGTGTTGAAATGAACATGTGTTGTCTCTGAGCACACTCTGTACATGTGTTGAAATTCAGCACGTGTCATTTTTAACACATCACCTCAGAGTGTGTGTGAACATTTTTCTATGACGTTAAAAGAGCACATTTTTTGGGCTTTCTAAGAAACATGGTGTAAACACATTTTCTCGATAGTGTTATTTATAACTGATCATTTCCTGACACCAGTTTTGAGAGTCACAGACTTAAATGTCCCCAATCAGCTGGCTGAGAGTGATTATGACTATTATGACAACTACTACTACTACTACTACTAATAATAATAATAATAACAATCATAATTGCTAAATTGGAAATATCAGCACAAGTAAACACACACCTACACAATAAGAGTCTATTACTGAGAAAAGCATGACATCACGGTGTGTCTGGAGGAAAAGTTCCCACAATTATGAGGTTTTTACGTTCCTGTACTTTCTACTTCTACTTTACTACATTTCAGAGGAAAATACTTTACATTTTACTCATCTATATAACAGCTATAGTTCCTATTTACTTAGCAGTTAAACATTTTATGCAGCTTATTTAAGATATGTTTGTAAAATATGCTGCATTTCTACCCTACAATATATAAAGTTGATAACTGGTTTCACCTTGACAGCTTACAATATTTAAATAGATCTTACATGTTGATGAATCATTATCAATGCTAACCCAATAATATAATATACGATATAAAACTGTTTTACACAAGGTAACATTAACATTAGCATTAACATTAGCCTCCCTCCGGGCTGCCAGCACCTGGAGCTCCCTGCTCATCGGCCGAACAATATATTTTTGAAAAAGCAATTATTTAGTAATGAAAAATGACGGATGAGAGTGTTGACAAAGAACCAAACCAATAAGTAATATCCATAAGAGTAGCATTATAAATAAAATCCTGCCGGTACCCATCCTGATTTCTCTAAAGGTACATTTTTTATGTTTTATTTTTCATGCATAAATTGGTGCCTTTGCCAGGGATGATATGCCCGCAGACCCCCCCCAGGTGACCTCATGCCTTCAGCACCCATTGGTGTCACTGCAGAACCTAGACATCACTAAAAGAAGGTCAGTAAAATGTTGTTTTCACACCAGCACCCATGCAACACCTGTAGTTGCTCAGTGTGTGCATATAAGAACCAGTGCACCACCTAGTGGCATATAGGGGATATTATTGACTCCTCAAACATCCACATTAGACCCACTGCTGCCCAAAGATAAAAAAAAAAATCCTGAGAAGATCTGTCTTGTTAGACACTGATAAATTACTTGTGTACAGTATATGAGATAATTGTCAATAATATGTAGTGTGGAGCCTGATTAAAGCAGTGACAGGTCAGATAACTTACAGATGGGGGAAACTAAAAGGAGCAGTCCAGCATTTAAGATGAGAATATTTGTTGTAACTCATTCAGCACTCACTTTTACGTGACCATGACGTTATAATAGACTTTGGAGATAAAATAAATATTAATTTTGTGAAATCATTTTCATTAAATGCTATTTTAAACTATTTTAACAATTTATTTTGTTCCATTAGATGATTTTCTTTTCTGTATTCATTTAATTTTACCCTTATGTTGAGTTTGATTTTTATTTAATATTGGCTATTTTTCAATACATCACATCAGTGCTATATATGTATTGAATTGAAATTATCACCTACTATAATATCTAGGCACTGCAGCCATTAGATGCATAGGTTCTGTTGATGGAAAAGGTCGTCTAATGGAAACTTTCAGGACCTTATGATTGTGATTTCTGCCTTCCTCTGGTGGGCTGTTTGTTTACATTTCAGGAATTAGTCATGCTTTTTTTTTTAACCTGACTTGGTGGTTAGATGCATCAGTGAGGCCAAAAATGCTCTACATAAGTTGCATAAGTAGTTTCAGACCTCATAAACATTCTCCTTCAAAATAAATTGAATGCATTCACAGGCAAACAAAAGTTTAGCAGATGGATAAATGATTAAATGAGGCCCCTCGAGTTGCAGCCTCACGAACTGCAGCAGCCTTATTAAACAATAGCAGCCAGTAAACAGTCACTAAAAGCCACCTGTTAAACAGCAAGGCCTTTTAATTGTGGTTTCCTGCTGGACGAGCAGAACAAGACAGCAACTCTTCATCTGGGCTGATCACATGAGGCTGCTGGTTACTGATCTTTTGCACTGATGCAAGATATGTGAACCACAGAGCAAACCGCCTGCATAGACGCAAATACTGCCTATTGCTTTTAGATTCTAACTTTAAGCGAGCAAAAACAAGCCTTGTTTCTTCTGGTGTGTTTGGAGATGAATAATGGACTTGCATTGTTCAGGCTTCTCCACATTTCCACATGTGCGGCCTAAATTTAGGCCATTTGCTTGTCGCCATTTTGTAGGTTGCATTCAAATTATGTTACAGCCCTTCCATGGTCTATAATTTACTGCGTCATTTGTTTATGTGCTAACTGCAGTTCAGTGTGTGAACAAGAGCGAGTGTGAACCCCTAGCCGGTAAAAGTCCAGCAGCCTTTGACTTACTACTTCAAGATATCCAGTAACCAGACTTGCTGCAAGTCTTAAGAAGTTCAAGTCTCTCAAATAGGTCTCAAGTCTTAAGTCACAAGTCTTGCAGAACAGTTGCGAAGTCTTAAAATTGGTATTGGTGACCATAAAATGACAAGACATTTAAACATCAAGTCCAGCTCAAAACATTACTCATATGCCTGTATGTACATTGAAAAAGTTATATGTTGCTGTAATTATTCCTCGTGACCATATAGTCTGTGAAAAGTTCAAGATTTTTTTGAGGCCATTTTTTTCTATGCTTAGACCTAATAGTCAAATATTGAAGCTGCACTTGAGACTTGAATGTTTTTTTCCATCAAGTCTTTAACCAGTCAAACCTCAAGTCCACATTTTTGTCAGTTTAGTCCGATTAAAGTTTTTCACAGTATGAGCTCTGTCCACTGGTGCAAGTTATCAGAAAGGCAGACTCATCCTGTTGTCACATGCTGTCAGAGTCATTTCCCCAGGGATATGCAAAACAATTTTGTCTATGGAAGGTTTTTCTCAAGCGTGTCAAAGACAAAGAATGCAAATTAAAGGAAAAAAGAACACTGTGAATGACACAAATGAACTCTAGAGTCGGGTCAAACTGCCTGTAACAAAAAATCTGAAGGCACCTCCATGCACATGTTGGTCCTGACTGTGCTGCTGATTATTCTTTCTTAATATGTTCAGCCTCAGCTCTGCTGTATTGTTACCTTTTTGATTAATTACCATTTGGCCTTAGAAGGAGCTGATCTGTCATACGTCGTGTTGGTTAGTGTGTGCTTCCTCTTGTGTTTGTCTTGAGGTTTTGAAGGTGGAGCTTCATGGAGTTCCTCTTGGTTTCATTTACAGTTAACCAAACCTTTTTAACATCCAGTTCTGAGAGTTTGTACGTGTGCTGTCATGGTTTACATCACTGACTTCCCTCAGGATCTATGTTAGTGTCTTGTGACAGTGTGGTTAAAGATGACTAGGATCCAGTACCTGGCTTGTCTGTGGACGCTGTTCTTGACACAAACTGGATTTGGTGAGTTCAGTTCTGTCATTACCTTTTTTTTTATGTAGTTTGAATTGTGTTTGGAGCTGAAAAGTAAGTCTAAGGGAAGTCAGGGGGAGTCTATTTCTTCTTCAAGGGGTGGACAAAATAATAGGAATACTTCACAATGTAATGCACCACTATAAAAAAAGTGTGTCATTTACCTTTGGTCATTTTCTGGTATCATTTTGGATTATACTCTGAGGTGTTGCTGTAATTTTGTCCAGCTCACTCATATGGAATGGTTAATTGTAAGATTTCAAAACAGAATTCAGTTGTTTTGTTTTTTTTTATTTATTTTTTTGTGCACAATGCCCATATGTAAGATAATATATACCACAAAAATAAGCTGCAAAATGCTTCTAAAATTGTGACTATTATTTTGAAACACATCTTTAAGTGTATAGAATATAACTAAAAATTGCTGATATTATTATTATTTTTGTTTTTATCAAGTGTGCAGTGACATTCAGTTCATGGAGAGGAATCAGGGGGAAACTGTGGTACTTCCCTGTGTGACTGACCCCAGAAACCCCTCGCCCTACGGCGTCTACCTGAAGCGTGACTGGCTGCGTCCCAAGGAAGTGCTGTTCAAGTACACCGACAGCAACTTCAAGCTAAACGATAATGATGACAAGAACCGCATCAGTGTCACCGGCGACCCGAGCAGGCACTCCCTGAACGTGACCATCTCTCAGCTGAATGCCGGTGACACAGACCGCTATTACTGTGAGTTCCTCGTGGCCAACCCTTCCTCTGAAGACGATCGAATACGTGGGAAGACAGAATTCGTCCTCCTTGTTAATGCTGGTGAGCTTCTTGTTTTTTTTTTCATCCCTCTCACTTTTCATCTGTCGCCCACTGGAGGTTACACTTTCCAAAACTAACAGCAAACTTGAAGGTCAAATACAGGGGGGTTGGCATTTGGAAAGTGTGTTTGGTGATGTTGTTTGAACCCACGTAGAACCACTGTCTAATAAGGCATGCTTTATAAGGGGTTGTAAATGATAATGGCTGTTAATTAATGAGGTTTACACCTGGCAGAAGGAATTAAAGAGCCAGCTAAACACATAAACTGGAGCAGGATAAACACCCTGACCATGCAAAAGTTCCTGTTATCAGTGGTGCTTTACTGACACATCAAGCGTTAAGTCTTATAAACCCTTTATAAATGATGCCTTGTTAAAACTGGCACCATGACGTGTTATTTTCTTTGTGGTGTTACTGTTTTTGACAAAACAACTTAACCACTAACATGCCCATCATGGACCCTCAGCAGTTCCTGCAACACAATGAAAGTTCAGCATTTTGCCTACGATGACTCACTCTGTTTCTTTGTTTTTAAAATTTGCTAACTGTTAGAGTAGCCAGGGTGTGAAATATTTCCTATGATTACGCAGTTTTGCTTCCACATCTGAAACTACAAGCCCATCACCGACATCAAAAATCTGTGAAAACTGAAGGTTTATTAATATCAGAATGTAGAGTAATATTGTGCACAACACTGTGGAGATGGAGTGAGCTTATGTAATTCATATCAGCTCCTCTCATCCTCTCTACAAGTTGAAAAACAGCAGATACTGATCCAGTTTGACAAGACAAGAGATGACTGTTCTTTTCCTGGATGCAACAATATTCAATAAATGCTGATATACACCTTAGATTGTACCCCAAAAATACATTTTCCTACAGCACCCTGACGATGCTTTCAAGGGTAGATGATTTACCATTGTTACTTTTACTGTTCCTGTTGACTGCACATGTTGATTGGTTATAAAGGCTGCACTCAGTTTGTCCTATCTGGCTACTATAATCACCAAGAACTCGCCCTGATATCCTTACAGCTGCTAACCCGCACAACTAATTTGATTAATCAGAGGAAATGGGATTTTAGGTCATATTCTAAGTTTTATTCCCTTTCCCCCCCCGGAGATGCCCCTGGGACAGTGAACATAGGTTTGGTAGAGACGTGTTCTGGGGCCTCGGCCGTGCTCCCCTGCATCCCTCAACACGGGGAGGCCTTGGCCGTGGAGGGGGTGAGTCTGATGCGGCAGAGGGGCCAGAAGCCTGTGGAGGTGTTGTACCACTCAAAGCGCCACCATGGCGGCGGCTCTTCCTCCTCCCAGTTCCCCGTCGAGAGGGTCCAGTTGTCCTCTGCTCCCGGTCCTAGGGGCATCACCTACAACCTGACCCTGAAGCAGCTGCAGCCAGATGACAGCGCCCTGTACAGCTGCCAGCTGCTCCTGCGCGGTGGGCCCGACTCCACCACCAGTCTGGGCAGACAAGTGTTCTTTGTGTCTGTGCAAGGTGGGTCACAGGGGGACTCAGTTGCAAGGTTACTTATACTAACTGCATTTTTTTTTCAGGCTTCTGAAAATGACTTTTTTTTGTACTAACTGTTGTTCTGTTGTTGCACCCAGTTCTCTCCTCCCTCTCTATTGTGCTGTTGTTTCAGTGTCTTTCAGTCCCGCTCTGATGTCTCAGGATGTCAGCCGTCTACTAACATAACTGCAGCTACAACTACTGAAGTTCATATTTGCCAGCTGTCTTGAAGTGTTGTTTGTTTCTTTTCAAATAATGATATTAATTAAATAGATTCGGGTGTTGTGGTGACACTGACATGTTCTGAAACCTGTGCAAAGGTGTCAGTTTCACGAGCACTAGTAATTGTTCATTATATTTGTTCACTTGTGCGTCTATGGATGTGTTCACCACTGATAACACTTGACAATATCAGACATCACTAACAGATGGCATTCACATTTTTCCACACTTAGAGTTTATGTGTACGTCATGTATAAACAGCCAGTTGTTAATCTGTCAGTCAATCTGGTGATATCTAACACGGTGCTGTCCCAATATAACTGACTTGTTACCCAACACTGGGCAGGGGCATGAACCGTTCATGCACAGATGTAGAAAATTATTGTGGTGCTGTTTTATATACATTTTCCCACGAAATAATCAGAACCACCAGTGGATAAATCCTCCTATCAAGTGTCCTCTGTGTGGCCAAAACCTGATATAGTGTATTCCTCTCCACACTGTTGCACTGGCTGACTCTTTTTTTAGTATACAATTGACTTATTTTTAATTGACAGGTGTGAGCGAGTCACTTAGCCTTTTTGAAAAAATGATACTATATATTGTGGCTTTTTGTTTTTGTTTTTTTAAAATTGGTTTTGCTTTTTATTATTTTCATCAACCTTCATTCAAAAATGATAGATTTTCACAATTTGTGACTATAGATTATTCACGTTTAATTCAAAAAATTTTATTGAAATTCTACTGAGAGTTTTGTGTTTGAGATGTTGTGCTCAAACCCTACTGAGCAAACCAAACTGCGATCACCTCCTGATAATATCAGACCAATCAGAGCTCCTGTTGGCTATGATAACAGATGTTTGTCTCCCTGTTTCTGAAGTTTTTGCTGCTTATCTTCATGTAATAAATAAACCTGGTCGTCCCACTGTGACTAATTTAATATGACTAATAGGAACATATTCAAATGGCAGCCTGCAACTATGAAGGAAGTTTGGCTCTGTGGTTTTTGAAATTCCATTGAACATGTCACAGTTGAGCTGCCTTTGACCCACTCACTGTTGTACTAACGTGCTGCTTTTGCTGTTTATCTTAAAATATTTTATAACTGCACTCATAAGTGTCAGAAGCAGCAGTGCAGTGAGGGTGCTGAGTGTTGTCAGTGTGGCTTCAGGGGATGTCGAGGCCCTCTGTGTTTGTGTCCTGCAGCAGCAGTGGGGTCAACCCTCGTATCTTCATCATCTCTCTCTGCTTCTTCACAGGAGGTCAGTGCGGCTGCTCCAACTACTCCACCCTGCTGTATGCTTTGTCCGCGGCTGTGGCTGTCCTCCTCCTCCTCCTCTTCGGATTTGTGGTGATTTATAAAGTGAGTGGACTTGTGGCTTATAATGCGCTGCTCTGACACTACACAAGCTAAAAGGAGAAAAACAGAACAGATCACCGTGAACAGCACCTGCCTGTCAGAGAGTTCCTCTGCAGCTCACCACAAAACCACACGAGTTTCACAACTTGCTGCTGTCACTCAGCATGTTTTTCTTACAATTCTGAGAAAGGTAGCAAACTTAATTCTCTTTTTTAGTTCATATGGAAGACATTTTTCTACGAGCTGTGAACTACAGTGTTCTTTTTTTAAGTTACAGAAAAAAGTGTAGTGAGGACTGGATTTGGTTAGGACTTCCTATCACAGTTAAAAGAAAATGAAAAACTCTGATTTTAACAGGAAATCGAGAGTGTGTTCGCTCTGTTCACTTCACTGATTTATTTTCCCCCTGTTTCTATGACTGTCAGGGCAAAGCACGCCGCAGTGTCAAGTCACACCCTCAGGCCCCCATCTACGAGGAGATGACTGGGGTGAAGCCTGTCTGTCGAAAACTGGCCCCCCACCATCTGGAGGAAATGGAGTCTTCTGAGTACAGAAACTGCCCTGTGAAGAAATCCTGTCCTGAAAACCATTACGAAAGCCCCAAACCCAGGAGTGAATTTTAGAAATGAAATATTAGACCAACTTATCAACTCAGCTGTCTGAAACTTACTGCACTCAAATTTACTCTATTAAATTACTTTAAATTACTTTAATTAGTTTCTCCAACACATTCAAACAGCTTAGATTCTGTCAGACTGTTATATCTCATGTATATTGGACTGGGGATAGTTTGAATGAGTGTTTGTATTTGACATTTTCTCAAGGACCTTTGTAAATGTTGACTGCCCATGTTTGTGTGTTTGTGTTTGAGCAAATAAAGTTACCCTGTGGAGTTTTGTAAGGACTTTTGTGGTCTTTGAGGTCTAACAAACACACTGATAACATCTCATCCTGAAGAAGCATTTGCAATCCTGATGTCAACAAACATTTGAACTCTATACTGCAGTATGACTTTTGAAATGATTTTTATGAGATTTCTTTTTTATCATGCACTATACTGACATTTTTCAAGCCATTTTAATAACATACTATACAGTGACAATTTTTAATTAAATCTTTCTCTGAAATGTTTCATGACACACAGTGTTGACATTTTTATGAGATACTATACTATGACTTTTTTTATGATATTTTAATTTTTACGACATACTGTAGTATGAAACTTTACTGGGACACACTAAACTAACCTTTTATGGCATTTTTTATGACACTTTACGATGACATTTTGAAGCCATACATATTTACAATAATCTATAACTTTATGACATACTATAGTATGGCACTACACTAGGACATACTTTAATGTGACTTTTCTGGCATTTGTATGGCACGCTACCACATTTTTTGACATCCTACACGATGACATTTTTTTCCTGCATACTAAAACTTTTTCATGACGTACTTTCATATGAAACCATTTTTTGCACTAAATGTTGTTGACATACTACAGTATGACATTTTGCATGAAATTCTAATGTCAAGCTAACATTTTATAACACACCTAAGTATGACACTTTACTAGGACATACTAACTTATGACTTTTTATGGCATACTATACTATATCGTTTTGACATACTACAGTGGGACATTTTAATGGCATATTGTAACTTTTGATGGCACACTATACTGTGACACTATACCAGGACACACTATACTGTGAC